ATTAGCATTTTTTAAAATTTCATTATAATTTGAATTGAAATTTATTTGTATTTTGTCGTAAAACTTTTTAAGTACCTTCAGGGCATATTGCCGATGAAACATAACGATTTTCGTAAAGACACGCCAAGACATTTGTGAAATACAGCATTTTACAACTAAATTCAAAATGGCAAACATAGGAAAATTTCATATCATTTAACTCCATATGCCCCACCAAATCTAAAGAGACCAGTTTCAGGACTTTCTAAGTAAAATTCTTCTTTTTTTAAAAGAAATTCTAATCAAAAAATATGCTTTTTCATATCTCGTGAGCACTAGGTGATGCTGTTCCAAAACTGTGCAGATACCCTCAAGTCTCAATGGCTATGACATATACTAAGTTTGGTCTGAATATGCTAAAGCGTTACGGAGATATAGCCTCACATCCATTTCAGTGTGCTCACCATTGAATTTGTTTGCACGTTATTCGAGAATGGTTTGGTCTATCAAAAAGCTTTTAATAACTTTTTGCCAGCATGGTCTAACGATGATCTGAGTCAAACGTGGTGAAGATCCAAAGAACTTTCTGGGATGAGTTCGAAAAATTAGGTTTTTCAGAAAATTCTAAATGGTGGAAAGTCTAGTTATGCACAAATTGAAACCATGGTATGCATTCAGAGGAAAAAAAAATTTGTTTCTAGCACTTACCGTTCAAAAGTTATTAACATAAACATGAGTGCAACTTTGATGTGTTGGTGGCGCTAGAGGGTTTTAGATGGACACTGCAAATTTGCTGCAAGGTATATTCAAACTGTCCCCAACAAGTTTTAAAAAGTTCATAACTTTCCCACAAGTGGGACTTCAAGCACGGAAGACTTCAAGCACGGAAGAAGAAGGAAGAATAATAAGAAGAAGAATACTAATGATTACAAGAGGTGCTTATGCACCTGCGGTGCTTGACCCCAAATAATAAGAAAACTAACGATTAGAATAGGTGCCTACGCAACTGTTGTGCTTGGCCCCTAATCATTTTAGAACTTTTTTCACCCTCAATGTGAAATTACAACATATAAAAATTAAGTGACAAACAGTTAGAAACATTTTAGGGAAAAATAGGAAAAATAAAAAAGTTGCAATAACCTGGTTGCATAAGTGTGCACACACTTTTATAATTGGGGATGTGGCTGTGTTCAGAATGAACCAATCACATTCAATCTCATATTCAAAAGAAATTATCATACTGTCATCAACGAAATTATTCTGATTAACCTCAAATAAAGACTAGCTGTTTCTGTAGGATTTTCTTGACATCTCCTTGGTTTCATCTGACTCCTAAAGCCATGGTCCGCAAAAGGCTTACAAAGCATGTACAGTATCTCACTTGTCGAAAGGCATTAATCAGGAGAGGGGTATAAAAATTTCATAATTCAAAACATTAGATATACCATGGAACACTGTGAAGGCCATCGTCAACAAATAGAGAAAACGGGGCACCGCAGTGACAATACCAAGAACAGGATGTCCATCCAAAATTTACAAAGGGACAAGACAAAAAAGTTACCAGGGAGGCTGCCAGTAGACCGATGGCAACATCAAAAGAGCTGCAGGAGTATCTGACAAGAGCTGATTACTCTCAGCATGTGACAACATTCTCTCGTGTTCTTCACATGTCTGAGCTATGGGGTAAGGTGGCTAGATGGAAGCCCCTTCTCACAAAAAACATCCAGACTCAACTAAATCACCCCAAACCATGTGGCAAAATGTGCTATGATCTGATGAGACCTATTCCAAAAGGTATAATAATTCCATAATTCCAAAAGTTATGTTTGGTGCAAAAAAAAGCACATCAACAAAAGAACACCATACCCACAGTGCAGCATGGTGGTGGCAGCATCATGCTTTAGGGCTGCTTTTCTTCAGCCAGCACTGGGACTTCAAGATGCAATCATGAATAGCTAAAAATATCAGTTGATTTTAGTGTAAAACATTCAGGTGTCTACTAGTAAGCTGAGGATGAAAAGGAATTTCATCTTTCATCATGAATGGCTTAACAAAAAGAAGATCAATGTTTTTGAATGGCCTAGCCAGAGCCCAGACCTGAATCCAACTAAAAATCTGTGGGCTGACCTGAAGCGGGCTGTGCACAGGAGATGCTCTCACAATTTGACAGCTGTAGAATGTTTTTGGTAGGAAGAGTGGGAAAATATTGCTAAGTCAAGATGTGCCACGCTGATAGACTCTTACGCAAAAAGACTGAGCGGTGTTATAAAATCAAAAGGTGCTTCAACAAAGTATTAGTTTAACGGTGTGCACACTTATGCAACTAGGTTATTGTAAGGTTTTATTTTTTCTTTTTTCCCTAAAAAGTTTCTGATCTTTTTTTCACTTTATTTGTACACTTTGCAATTTCATATTAAATGTGTGAAAAGATCTGGCATGATTTATCCTAGTTTCATTTTTTTTTCACAAAAACATGCCATTTTAACAGGGGTGTGTTAAAATAACCATTGTATGATGATCTATCAGCACTAAGAGCTTTTCTATATCTCAGGAGGCTCTCCTTCCATGCAGTTGTCAGGAATGGTAGGCTGAAGCAGATGCAAATGCAGTTAGAGTTTATTGTAAGAACTGGCAGATAAATCTAAATCGTAAGGCAAAAATCAAAAAACAGGCAATGATCAGGTGATATGCATACCACACAAACAGGGCAAATCCAAAATCCAGGGCAAATCCTAGGCCTCCCTGGGTGTCTAGAGTGGAACTCTTGGCACAGGTTGGGGTCAAGGATATCATGAGCCAGGATCCAGGCATTTCAGGTGTGAGACATAAAACGAATATGCTATTCAGCAGTGTCATCGTATGTCGAATTTATACGTGACCTTGTTGACTTGCTTCCAGATCTTGTATGGAACGATGTATCTGAGGTTTAGCTTTTACATCCTTGCAGTCCTTTTTTACATCCTTTTTTACATCCTTGAATCCTTGGTCACTAGTCAGACTGGATCTACGTGTTGATAGTGTGGTGTTTCTACTCAATGTTGGTCTGCATTCTCCTTATTGGTGTATGCCACTTGTTCTAGGTGTCGATGTGTGCTCTCCCACACCTGTTCGCTCCCTTGGAACCACTCATTCATGGCTGGTGAGCATCAGCATCAGCGTGTGCAGTATAGCAGTGGTGGAGAGTGCCTGTGAAATCAGGTTCACCTTAGTGTCTAGCTCTGCCAAGCGTTGGATGTCAAGCTGCATCCATGGTAGTGGCAAAGTAATCTGTCAGGAGTGGTAGGCTGAAGCGGATGCAAATGCAGTTAGAGTTTATTGTAAGAACTGGCAGACAATCATCCGGAGTTTTCCTGACAGCGGTTTGGAATACTAGCAATTTAGTTTGGTGCCATTTGCATTCTAATTTGTGTAATCTATTTTAGGGTGTGTGTGATCATTATACCAGGATGTTAGTTTTTCCCCTCTAAGTAGAGCTACATTATCTAAGTGTAGCAGAACACTGACTCTAAGTATTCAGCTGCCTGGTCAAGTTCTGTGGGGTCAGACGGTGGTCTTATCAAAGTTGACACCTCTGGGAGATTATTAATAAAACTATGTGCAGTAGCTGCCGTGAATATATGTTTGACAGGGTAGCATGGCGAAGTGAATATACAGTATTATGACTAAGACATGTTTTAAATTAGATGAGGTAATGATCTGAAGTAGCAACTAAAGAACTTCAAATACGTTAAATTCATGTCCAAGTTTCTGTGTGATGCCTACAATGTCATTATAAATAACTGCGACACCTCCTCCTTTGCTTCCTCCTCTTAGATGAGGCTGATGTATGTAATTGTATCTGGAAGGACTAGTTTAATTTAATGCCACATATTCATTTGAGGTCAGGTGAACTGATAAAGGCAATGCACTTCAAATATACCACCTCGATCTCCTGAACCGTGGAGAGAGATGGTTCCTGTGGCTCTGGCAATGGTAGTTGCTGAGAGGGAGGAGCTGGGACCAGAGGGAAATCTAAAAGGTGTAGCCCAAAATCACCCAGGTCTCCAGTGGAGACCACCCTTCACTGTCCCAGAAAGCACAAGTTGCCAGGTTGCAAGGGAAATTTTCTAACGTGCTTTTCTCTCTACCTAGTCGAACAGACCTAATAGAGCACCACAATGAGTCTCCTCCAGGCATGGATGTACACAGCCGCCCCAATAATTTACCCAAACACAAAGGAATGTGGTTTGGGATGAACTCAAGTCTATGCACAACATGGCAGTAATGGTACCCAAGGCCAAAGGGTTGGCCCATTTTTGTGTGGACCTTAGTAAAGTCAGCACGGTGTCTAAAGTTGACACATACCAATGCCACACATTGATGAACAGCTTGATAGCTTAGGCATGGCTCGGTTTATTTGACAGTGGATTTACCCAAAGGGCTATTGGCAGATTCCCTTCACTCCAATATCCTGAGAAAAAAAGGCCTTTTCCACTCTGTTTGGGTTACACTAATTTGTCATCATTCTGTTTGGTTTGTTTGGAGCCCTACTGATGTTTCAGTGTCTCGTGGACAGAATATTTCGTGTGCACAGAGCATACGCTGCTGTTTATTTAGATGAAATAATCATTTATAGTAATGATTGGCAGTGGCATTTACAACATCTGAGAGCTGTCCTGAGATCCTTGAGACAGGTGGGACTCAGGTAATCCAAAGAAGTGTACAATTGGATGGGTGGAATTACGGTATCTGGGCTACCACTTGGCCCATTAAGGTTATTAAGGTTAGTGTAGGAAACAAAATAGACAAAAAGGAATCACATCTTATGAAATACAACACAGTTTATTTTTGTCACTCTTAAAGCTGCAGACACCCACAGTTTTCCCACAGACACTGACAAATCATCCGACTTGATAGCCATAGTTGGAATCTAGCAGCAATTCTCAATACTACCGTCAGTCGTCTCAAGCCTACTTTGGAAGAGGGTGCTTCAGTGTAGTTATGCTAGTTTGATATTTTTAATGTACTTTATAAAAGTAGGTTCCCTGAAGGACTAGTGGTTAGGCCACAGTGCTCTTGCCACTGCAGCCAGGGTTCGATTCCTGGACAGGGAACCTACCCCAGCCACTGGGGTTGCATGCAACGGTGCGCTCTTAGTGCCGGTCCCAAGCCCAGATAAAACTGGGAAGGGCATCCAGTGTAAAAACTCTGCCAAATCAAACCAATGATCCGCTGTGGAACCCTTACGGGAGCAGCCAAAAAAGGAACAACATACTTTATAAAAGTAGATATTTACTACTGCTTATTTTATGATATACTTATACAAATTATGTTGGAGGAACGGTTAAAAAGTTAAAGTTTTTAATATTTAATGTTCTGATTTTTTAAAAAAGTGTTTCTTGTAACGCTGACACAGGCACAAGGTATAAATCTGATGAAACTGATGAGGATATTGGGTGTAGATGTGAGCCAGGTTTATTTGACTTAGGTGACAGCAGGTGACACAGGTAAGGCTAGGCTCATCTATGATACAAAAAAGAAACATAAAACTTACTGGGAAAACAAACATGGGAAACAGCCTGACAAGCATAAAAACATCAAACTAACATCCAGCAACTTATGAACAAAGTCAAAAAAGGACTAGGGCAGAGAAGGGCTATTTATACACACAGTTAAACAAGGAACACTTGGGACAAACCAGGAAGTGACCAAGATTTAATGACAAAGACTATTTAAAATTAAACTATTAGACTATTAAAAATGTGCATTTCATGTACTTTATGTAACAGAGAAAAGAAATAAATGATGAATCTCACCAAAATGGTTGACCATATGCTGTGTTTTACCAATTTATTTGTTCATTTTATGACATCATGGGTAAATGTTAGAAGGGATATGGGGACACCTACAGGTAATAGGTATAATAGGCGAAGTCGGCCATTTTCTCTTCAGTAGAAAGTTCACTTTTGAGGTGAAAGGCAGTTGTGACTGGAATAACAGCATGTTTCTCCTGTATTCTCAGTAAAATCGCTGCACTGCCTGTATGAGCTCAACACACTGTCTTCGCGTGTTCCTTTCAGTGGAGGCGGTGAAAGAACAGAAGGGTTACATATACATATAGTAGAGTTACTGTATATGACTAACCATGTATTTACTGTATACTATAGTACATATAAGAACACAATTTAGTATACCAAAAGGGTAATGTAAGATCACATGAAGGGTTGTACAAATATGCTTGAAAGTATTTGTAAATACTAATTGTATAATTCAAGAGCACATGAACAGCATTACAAAAATGATGTGGCACAGAATTATATACTTTAATTATATCATATATATCAAGTGTAGTTCCAATATATTCAACTACAAATTAGTAGTGATTCAGTACAAATTAGTATAGAAAATGTGGTGCCAAAATAACACACCTTAAGTATATAACTATTTCAGCACTACTTAAGTATGCTTATTTTTCACAATGGTCTGCAGGCACTATATGCAGGGTGACATGATTCAAGGTTTTGTGGTTCAAGATTGTGTGATAAAAATGTTTAGAGATGAGAGCTGCCATTGTTTTAAGAGGCAGCAGAACCTCTGCAGTAGGAATCAGCTGTTCTATCTGCCTACACAGCAAAATTAAAATGACTGTTGGATTGGTATTAATTTTGCACTTTATCATTCATGTCCAACTCAGTCATTACTAACGTTGTTAGTAATGATTATTATCATTACTAATAACATTATTATCATTAACATGCAAAATTAACATTTAAAGTATAAATGTACTAAATAAATATACACATATAATCCATTATATAAATAATCATGATTATCAACTCATGATTATATTTGCAAGAAGTGAAGTGTTGTCACTATATTCAGATAACACTGCAGCTGAACATTTCACACAGGATAGAAAACACCATGTGTGTATTTAAGTATTAAGAATCACTACCTGCCTATTCATGACTTTTAACATAGAGAAAAATTATAAAGACTGTTTGTATAGTAAGGAATCAATTTTGTGCTTTTGTTTCATGCCCAACTCAGGCATTAATCAAGCTGTGATGTCAACAATTTGACAAAACAATGTTACAAAAGCTGTAGGTCATCCAGTAACCCAAAACCTTTACAACTTCACATATATTTCACTCACTGAGGTAATTTAGATAAAAACTGAATCAGCAGTGTAGAGCAGGAATCAGAGGAAACAGGATATTTATCTGAGAAAACTACAAGCAATATCTCATTATTTATATCTGTCCAACAAAAATGTCTGCGATTTTATATATCTTCTTATATGCAAAACAGTACTCAAAATGCTCTAACAAATACAAATTGGCAGTATTTACATATTGTAATGTATGGGTCACAACAGGAGAAGACCACATCAGGTTCGATTCTTGTCAGCCAAGAACAAGAATCTGAGGAAATCATTGGCACAGACTCAGAAAGACTGGAAAGATTTTTTCTTTCTAATCTTCAACTGCCCAGTTTAGGTGAGGCCTATTGTGACAGAGGGACAGCGCTCATACTTTCTCACACACATAGCCATTTTCCCTTTATTTATCCGCCATTTCATACACGCATACACGTACACTACACGTTACTTCACCCTGGAGTTTGCCATCCCAATAAACACACACACATCAGATAAGGTTAAAATATATATATATATATATATATATATATATATATATATATATATATATATATATATATATATATAATGTTTATTACTTATCTGCATTTGTGTCTGTCTACGTCTTTGGGTGTGTAGCTGTCGGCCTCGTTGCATCTTCTGGGTCCAGTCTGCTGAGGATAAGGAATGCGACAGGGGCTAAACGCAGGTGGCAGTTCGCGAATCCTCAAATACGGGATTTTCTTGTGCCGCACACGCGTGATGCCTTCAGCGGCTGGACTGTCCCAAGTGTTTATGTGTCTAGGGGCAGAAACAGGAAATTTTGTTTTATTAACTCAGAGTCTGCTTAAAGAGATGTTGTAAATATTTGTTATAAGTATATATATGTGTTATATGTTCATGTATATGTATGTGCTGTAAACTTACCATTGTCCTTGTAGAAGATGGATGTGACAATACTTACCGGATACTTACCTGTTGTGTCCTAATGGGACATTCCACATGGGCGGAGCCTTCATAAGCATGGCTCTGGCCCACAGTCGGTGTGGGACATTAGAGGTGGAAGTTAGGAGTTTAGAGTGATATTGGCAAGTTTAGTAAAATTATATTTAGCAATCCCTTGTAGAAGGAACCCTGTATATATAGTAAATATTCCTCTGTTCTATTTTGTTTCTTTTGATTTTTTTGTGGTTTTTGTGCACTTTTTGGATTTTTGGGGCTATTTATATCACCATGGACTGTAAATAAAACACAATTGCACTGACATACTATTGCGACTGAGCCATCATTTCTTGTGCAGAGAGCCATTACCATCACGCCTCATCACAAGTGGTGGCAGCAGTGTGATAGCTAGCCGCAAGACAGTACCCACTGGGAAATGGACCAGGAAGGATCTATGGACCAGGAAGGATCCCAGGGACACACTGGACGAGTCAGAGGGGGAGGCTCAGCCTGTAACCGCCTCAGATATGGTGACCCTGATGCAAGACATCCTGGTGGCGAAGCAAAGGAGGGAGGAGGGTCTCCTCTATGAACTCCGAAGCCACAGAGAGTCGATTCGGCAGCAGAGATCACCAGAGCCAGCAGTAACACTGGAGCTGACAGAGTCTGCAGTTGGAGCTCCCCATTCCAGCGACCCTGCGCAATGTGGTGACGTCAGCTGAGAGACAGCAGCTGTCAGAGGTACTCAGGTCACTGTGTGGGACAACGAAGGTAACAACTATCTACTATGTTTAGCAAAGGACTGGTGTGTTTTTATTGTCAGCAGCCAGATCATAAAGCTTTGAACTGTCCAGTGCATAAACCAAATTATCTAACCTGTGTTATGTACCAAGGAAGGCTGACATCAGCGAAGATAATTTATGTAAACGTGTTGCACAGTATGCTTATGTGACTGTTAATAGACATGACATTAAGGCCCTAATAGACACTGGGAGTGCAATGTCCTTCATAAAGCGCTGTTGTATCCCAGAGACTCTAATTAGCTGTGCAAACACCACTGCCATTCAGTGTGTGCATGGTGACAGGAAAACATACCCTACTGCAGAGGTGACTGTCAATGTAAATGAACAATCATACCTGATGTGTGTTGGGGTGCGGAAAGATTGCCAGCTGAGATGGTTTTGGGGTGGGACATGTCTGTGCTAAAAGACCTGCTGGGAAACATTAATACTTGTTGTGTCGCTAAAATTGTCATGTCCTGCCCGGTGCTCACCAGAGCCAAAGCCAAGGTAGCAATAAACCAAGAAAATCACGTTGGCAGTGCCGAGTGGAGAAGTACTTGGGTACTACAATACCAGAGGTATCTCCTGAAGGTTTGGGGGTCAGGGATTGGAAAATACCTGACAATATTGCCCAATTACAGGTGGTCGATGTTACACTGAAACCACTGTTTGACAAAACACAAGGGGAGGAAGCTAAAGTCATGATTCTCGGGCTGAAACTTATGTTGTTGAAAATAGGGTTCTATATGTGGTTTCGGATGATGGTAAACATCTTATTGTGCCTAAATATTGTAGATCACTCATTACACCTTGCACGCGCTATACCATGGTCAGGAGACTTGGCACGTCAGAAAACATACCACCGAATTAGTACCCATTCTTATTGGCAGTCAACGTACACTGACGTGTTCACTTATTGTTCCACCTTCCCTGCTTGTCAGAAAACAGGTGCTGTTCGCAGGTTGGCCAGAGTCGGTATCCTGGATGAAATCATCACTGACCAAGGCACCAACTTTACTTCTTGGCTCATGAAGCTACTCCACCAACCCTGAAACCAGCCCATATTACACGCAGACAGATAGTATTGTAGAGAGGTTTTAATCATAATATATGCAGCTTGCCAACCTACCGCATCAAATGTACATTTATGTCAGCAACTGCACAGAATTTTATCAGTAATCTCCCAGAGTTACCAACCATGATTGGATCACGGTCTGATCCTGAAGAACCTGACCAGGCAACTGACTGC